CTATGGGTGGTACTTTGTTTCTGTCTCCCTTCCTCCAGGCTGAGATTTTGTCTGGCTTGAGCTTACACAGCCTTTGTGCATGCTGTTGTAGTCACTGTGAGTTCATATGGGCAACTGCCCTGCTGTGTCTGGAAAATACTATTTCCTTATAGTCATCTGCTTCCTCTGGCTCTTACAATCTTCACACCACCTTTCCTGTAATGATCCGTAAGCCTTGGGAAGAGGGGTGTTATAGAGATGTCTCATTTAGAGCTGAGTGTTCCACAGTCTCTTCTCTGTACCTTGACCAGTTGTGGGGCTCTGTGTTATTTGCCATCTACTTAAAAAAAAAAAAAAAAAAAAAGCTTTTCTGATGAGAGTTGAGTGATGCACTAATCTGTGGGTATAATAATAAGCCATTAGGAATCAGTTTAACCTTGTACCTATTTAGTGAAGTAACATCTGTAGGTTCTCCTATGTCCAAGGACCTTTCTAGCCACGGGTTCTTGGTGGCTCCAATAATGGTGCCAGATATGGTTTTAAACCTGTGGAGCAGGCCTTCCAAACAGTCAGAAGGTGGTCGGTTACTCTCATGACTGCTGTGCCCTTATGCAGCAGTGGGCATGTCTTACTAGGCTGATTGTTGTAGCTCACATGGTTCACAGCTGGGTAAAACTGGTGCTTACTTTTTTCTTTTGGTAGCACATGTAGACCTTCCAAAACGGTGAAAGCTAGCCAGTAGAGGTGAGACTTGATTTCTGTCTGAACACATTTAAAAAATTTTAAAGCTCCAATCTTTCAAATCTTCTTTTACTTTGTTCTTTCAAATCTTGAGTATTTATTTTTTATATAGACTATTCAATTACCACTTTAAATAAATTCAACATATCATTACTTATTAAGTAGTGTTACATAATTATTTCTATATGCAATAATATGTAATTATATTGTATAATATATCCTCTGCTTTGTTTTAAAAGCGTTGCTGTAGCTATTGACCTGAGTTGTGTGCTATGTACTGGGTGGGCATTACGACCTGACCTGTGCCTGGCATGCTGGAGAGGCATGGAGGTGTTGGTCCATCCATTAAAGCATCTTTGCTCCTCCACCAGGAACTGCTGTCTTTGCTGACGGAGGCTGACCACTCAGACCACTCTTCCAACTCTCTCGTTGCTCTTGCTCCTCAGCCTTCGGCAGTTTCACACCTCTGAGTGTTGTATTTCATTGGTGATGCAGAGATAGCTTTATGTCCCTCTCTATTCAGGAAAAACCTACTTCTAAAAGGCTTCAAATGTGATTTGTATACTCAATACATTCTACTATTTCTCATTTGCTATGTTAACTGCAGGGACTTGATAATTTATGACTGTCTTTTGTACTGTAGCTTTTGTTGGCTTCCCAATGCATGTGTTACAGACTGGTGTAAGCTCATAAGACCACATCTCAGGATACCCAACTCTTTCAGACAGCCAACTTTAGGGTATATAGGTACCAGCTGTGAGCTTTCAAACTCTTCTAGATCAACAACCCTTAGAATTTTACAGGCTAGAGATGGGGTATACATTTTGGAGTATGGTCTCAGTAATGTAGCCCTGGCTGGTGGAGAATTCTCTATGTAGATCAAACTGACTCTGAACTCATAGGGATATGCCTGGCTCTGCTTTCTGATGTAAAGGTGTGGCCAACATACCCCACCTGAGTGTGAAATTTTGCATGTTTATGTAGCTAGAGTTTTCCTGCCTTGCCCACAGTCAGGACAAATCTTTGTCACCCGCCAGTCCCACAGCCACTCAGACCCAACCAAGTAAACACAGAGACTTATATTGCATACAAACTGTATGGCCGTGGCAGGCTTCTTGCTAACTGTTCTTTTATCTTAAATTAACCCATATCTATACATCTATACCTTGCCACGTGGCTGGTGGCTTACTGGCATCTTTACATGCTGCTTGTCCTGGCGGTGGCTGCAGTGTCTCTCATCCTTCTTCCTGTTTCCCCAATTC